TTATTGGATGTTTTATTTACATTTGATATGTTATCCCCTTACCCCATTCCCACCCCCAGGAACCCCCTATCCTTTCACCCCTCCTCCTGCTTCTCTGCGGATGTGCTCTTACCTATCACCCATTCCCACCTCCCCACCCTCAAATTCCCACCCACTGGGGTGTCCAGCCTTCATGAGACCAAGGATCTCTTCTCCCACCTATGTTCAACAGGGCCCTCCACCCTTACATATACAGCTGAAGCCATGGATCCCTCCCTAAGCGCTCCCAGGCTGTTGGTTTAGACCCTGGGAGGTCTGGTTGGTTGGTATTGCTGCTCTCCTCATGGGGCCACAAACCCCCTCAGCTCCAACAGGAAGACCCACTTCTAATCACAATCTTTTGAGGTGGGAAGATCCGCCTTTAATCTGGGCCACACCTTTCTGCTGGCAGCCTATATAAAGGTCATGGAAGACAGAGGCCTGCTCTATTTGCCTGCTTGCTCTCACCTTGCTAGTAAGTCCACTCCGTCACTAGCATTAGAGCCTACTTCTTCAGGATTCTAGTGTATACTGATGACCAGCTGAGACTTCCAGCCTCATGGGCTGAACAACTCTGGGTTCTTGAACCTTCGGTTGGTAAATAAACTGCCACTGTTGGACTAGCTGGACCACAGGCTGTAAGCCATTCTAACAAATGCCATATATATATGTATGTATATATATATTTGTTTTGCCCCTCTAGAGAACCCCTGACTACCACAGTGCCGCTATGCAGAACAGAGACTCCATGGGCAGCCCCAGACACTGACCTCTGCTTCACCAACAGCAACACTGCTGTCCAGTTTAGCTTCTGATTTACGTTTTATTAGAAACAGGGTCTCTTTGCTCTATCATACGAAATCCACTATGCTAAAGAGAAGGAAGGATCACTAAGAAGCCATGTATACATTTCCTGATTGACAGCACACTACTAGACCATATCACCAAAGCCACACCAGGTAAACAATAATTTCAGTAGGAAAGGAATTATCTCCTATCATAACAGTGACTATGTTCTGCACAGAAGAACTCCTTCCCACATGACATAGAACCTGTAAATATTACTTGACTAAGAATTAACTCACTCTAAGAGGTAAGTCAAGGTATTTTGTTTTGTCTAATGTGTAGTTACTAAATTTGAGCTTGATTTGAAATTTGGATATTTACAGATGTGTATATAATTATATTACATTAGCTATTTTTAAAGTATATCTCAGGTATGAAAAAAATAAAACATGATACACTAACCTAATTTCTCTGTCATGTATAGATGAAGAGTAGTTAATTTCCAACAGCACTCCGTGACTCCTGAGGGACTGCTTTATTTCTTCAAGGCCAATACTCTGCTGTGTGTTCCCAAAACCCTATGGATAGCACGAAACATAATTTAGTGCCTCTATTATTAAGTTAAATTATCCACAATACAATAAGTACTACAGAGAGATTAAACTGAAAAGACTGACATCAATTTCAATACTGATGTCTCAAAGAAGCAACCGAAGGATGGGTAATTCTTCTCTTTTAATATTGTTTTTATACAAACAATTAAATAATTAAGAATATCACACAACTCCCTCCTACCCCTGCCTCCCTGTTGCTAGGAGCACGGGCATGTGGCCCCATGGTCAGCTTCTTAAATGTATCTCAGTAACGATGCTCAAGTTATCCGTGTGGGACAGCCTCCTGCTTAGACTAACCCTGGAAAGTATAATTCTTCAGATACAATTCTACTCGAGTCAAAATCAAGAAAGACACAGCGACAGTCTAATCCCAGGCCCATGAAGTAAAGGACAGAACAGTCACTGGCACAGACTGCAGGGTCACTGAGACCACGCTCACAAACTCAAATTCATAGAGTTTAACAAAATGGCCAAATACGAGGTCAACACTCTCAAATCAATAGCCTTTTTCTTAAGACAGTCTATGCTTGGCACTAAGTGCCGGATCAGGTAACATGTAACTGATACAGTAACTTAAGAAAGATTTTTCAGATACCTACTTCATCCCCAGAGGTGAGAAGGTGAATAGTCCTTACTTTACATGGCTTCTTAATCAGCATCTCACAAAACCGAAGGAAGTTATACAGCTGAAAGGCATTAAGATTGGTTAGTACTAGCTCCACGGCTTTCCAGCAAGAACTGATTCTACAACCATCAGCTGGCTGGCTCACCAGCCTGCAGAGAAGGAGGAATCTGAACACCAGCAGAAAGAACTGGAGAAAGCCTGCAGTCCCATCATTACCAAGCTGTACCAGAGCTGGTGGCACACCTGGAGGAATGCCTGGCGGCCTCCCTGGTGGGGGGCTCCGCCATCTGGTAGTGCTTCTTCAGGGCCTACCACTGAAGAGGTGGATTAAATCAATTTGAATAAAGGTGAAGCACTGTTCCACAGGGAAACATACGAAGGACCCAGATGTAGCAAGCTACATGGAAGTTTTAAATTTAAGCTGCTAAAGTAAATTACTGGGCATTGTGCGCTGTGTTTATAAACACTGTATCCTAAAGGAAACACCAATGTCTAATAAAACTATTTTAAAAACTGATTCTAGGATAGCCTTCCCCAACCAGATACTAAGATATCCACAGATGGTTCCATCTCTTATTTTAAGTGATATAGTATCAGCCCAGAACCCACACACCTCCCCCTGGGCCCTTTAAATCACCTCTAGACTACGCATGATACCTAACACAATGTAAACACCATGTATTACCATTGTCTTGTCATGTTTGTACATGTTCAGTACAAACAGGAATGTTACCTGTATTTCTGATCCTCCACTGAATCCATGGGAAGGTAACCCATAAACACTGGCAGCTGACTGTACATTTAAAGTTATATTTCATTATATTTTAGTAAGCTACTTACCTGATGAGTTTGTCTAATATAAGGGTCTTCTACCCAAACTTCTGTAACTGTCTCGTGGAGGTATTCTTTAAAAAGTGACTCGTAACTGAAACCAGTTGCATTCTCTTCTATTTTAATTTGCTTGTGATATTTTCCATCTATAAAACACAAGCTACAGTAACGTGACCAGTGACCACTTTAAAAAGTTAAGTCTTTAATCTTTTGTGTGGGGACATGCATGTGGGTCCCCAGGGATTGAACTCAGGTCTTTACATTTGTTAGCAGGTAGTTCTACTCACTGGACCACCTCACCAGTGGCCATGAGCACTTTCTTTACACACAGTTATGTTGTACACAGGGAGAAATCAGGATCAGTTACAATCTTTTAAACTTACTGACTCAGAAGCTATCACAGGCCTACTCTAGACTGCATGTTGCAAAATGTTTCAAACACATAGGAAAGAGGACAAAATACTATTCCAAAGGAGATTCTTACCTTCACAGAGGCTAAGAAAAGGGGTCCATCCTTTTTTAAATTTAAAATTTTTTTCTTTAAAATTTTTTCTTGTTTAAAATTTTAAAAAAATTATCTATCTTACACATATAAATATCTTGCCTGCATGTATGCATTTGTACTACATACATGCAGTGTCCACTAAGTCAGAACACAACATTAGATTCATAGTTAAAAATGGTTATAAGCTGCCATGTGGGTGCTGGGAACTAAACCTAGGGGTCTTCTGCAAGAGCAGCCAGTGCTCTCCTATGCCATCTCTTCAGCTCACAAGGGGTTACTTGAAAAAGCTTTCAGGAGAGGACTGACTGAGCCAGGCAGTGGTGGTCCACGCCTTTAATCCCAGCACTCAGGAGGAAGAGGCAAGTGAATCTCTGAGTTAGCCTGGTCTACAGAGTGAGTTTCAGGATAGCCGGAGCTGCACAGAGAAATCCGGTCTTGAAAAACCAAACCAAAAAAAAAAAAGGACTGTGGTTCAAATATGCTTGGTCCAGGGAATGGCACTATTAGGAGGTGTGGCCTTGTTGGAGGAAGTGTGTCACTGTGTGTGGGGGTGGGGGAGAACCTTGAGACCTTTCTCCTAGCTGCCTGAGGATGCTAGCCTTTTCCTGGTTCCCTTTGGAACAAGATGTAGAACTCTCAGCTCCTCCAGCCCCATGGCTGCCTGTTGCCATGCTTCCCACCATGATGACAATGGACTAAACCTCTGAACCTGTAGGCCAGCCCTAATTAAATGTTGTCCTTGTAAGAGTTACCTTGGTCATGGTGTCTCTTCACAGCAATGGAAACCATAACTAGTATAAGGACTGATTGTAAAAAGGTGTGGCTCAGACCCTGTCACAGTGGGCAGAACAGGATGTACCCAGTTGTATCCACCTTCCTTTCAGGTTGCCCACTTCATATCTCGCACTCTCATGGCTAATGTGATCATTAAACATAAACAGTGTCATGGAGATTAGAAGCAGATCCTAGCACTGTAAGAGTGTCTCTTTAAGACTTTGTTGTGAAGATAGGGATCAAATGTAGCCCAGGCTGGCCACAAACTCCTTATATAGCTGATGGTGATCTTGAATTCCTAACCCTTTCCTTCCACATCCCAAGTGCTGGGACTACAGGTGTATTACACCACCACAGCCTGGATGTATTTTTATTTATTCATTTACATACTTATCTGCTTGTTTGTTTGTTTTGGCTTTAAGGTTTTTGTTTCCTTGCCTGTCTGTCTGCTTGCCTTTGGTGCTGAGGATTGGATCCAGAGCACTGCACATGCTGAGCGAGCTACAAAGTGTTTTAAGCAGACTTTTAGTGGTTCGCACTGTGGAAACTGAAGTTCTTTTGAGACTGTGTAACATGAATGAAAGAAAGAAAGAAAAGAAAAAAACACAACCCACAACAGCAGAGTTGCACGTGTGTTTGCGTGTCTGTCAGTACCAAGTGGGCTCTTCTCACCAAGGATCGGAGGAGTATCAGTGAATGAGCAAAAGCAAAGTGCAAAGTCAGAAGGTGACCACACCCGCTCATGGTGTTACACAGATGCTCATGAGCTGGGAATTCATAACAGATCCAGAGGAATACCCACCTCACCTCTAATTATTAAGAATATATAACTCTTGAAATGCTTTGATTCACAAGAAGCCACTGGAGTTCCCTTAACTATTCTAATGATTTTCATTTTCCACAAAAGGAAATATAGATCTAGAATCCACATTCAGAACTCTTCTGCAATATTCTTAAATTGAGGCCCAAACATACAATTCATAGTGATCTACAAATACCTTTAAAATGGACAAGTTTTCCTCATATGCTCAAAGGATGACTGAATTCCCACGTCCCAAAATGAAAACCAGACACTGTCAAGAACAACTTCTGTATGAGGGATAGGGAAACACAGAGCAAATCCACGAAGCTCTGAGGTACAAGTGGCCCAGACCACATAGAGCTCCAACAGGCAGGATCTTTGAACCCCAGGCCTCAAGCAGCACCCCCAACTCTAAGCCCCACCCCAAGTCATGTTGCAAAACAGAGCCTTTTACCTTCTTTTTCTTGATCTAAGTATTTCTTTATATTTTCTGCTCTATCCATGTAGCCGGAGATTTTCGTTCTGAGAACACATCTTTTACTAGATTCTTTGGTGCCTATGAATTGGAAAAAAGGACAAGGATTTTTCTCAAGTTTCAGAACAGCTTTCTATTTAGCTCAGCAGTTTGTCAGGCTTCCTACAAATGCCCTACCCTTCACAATATGCTCAGATTCAATGTGCTGGAGGACATGAAACAGCTCAGGTTAGGAGCTTCAACACTGCTTACCTCTTCCTGATTCTCCACATGTTGGGAAGTCTGAATAGTTAAACTACTATTTTATCAATTAGCAGCTTTTCTTCTAGGCCTCTGCATTATAGTTAATGCTCAATCATTTTTCATTTTCTCAGTCACACACACACACACACACACACACACACACACAAAGAGAGAGAGAGAGAGAGAGAGAGAGAGAGAGAGAGAGAGAGAAACCCAACAAACAAAACTCAAACAAAACAGCAAGTTATTTTTCACACTATATTATCAATAATGCTTACCCTGCCTTATTCCACAATACTTTATCAATAAAGCTTACCCTGCACCAACCCCCAACCAGAGTCTAATGGATGCTCATGGTAACGTGATAAATGGATAACATGAGTTATGACTGAGCAAGATCCCCAGGCCTCGGAATTAATTCGTGCTACATACCCAGGGTGAAATGAGCAGGTGAACTATACTGTGAACCCTTCTACAAACCTTAGTTGCAGACTGTGTGTTATTTTAAATTGTCTGCTGTCATCTCACGAGTAACGTGAACTTATGCATTGAAGACAAACATATCAGAGAAGCCAAATGCCCTTCTTGGTGGATTCATGCATTTGTGTTTTGACACTGATTATAACAAGGGTTAGTTTAGATTTCTCCATCACTATCTGTTTCTCTGTAGGAGAGGACCTTGTACCCCTTACTGTAGCATCTGCTGGTGTGTGGGCATTGATCTTTACCTGTGGTGCGCAATCTGGAGCTATGGTACTTCCTTCAACATGGTCTGATCCCTTTTGAATTCTTTCTCACTCTTAGGTTTTGTGAGGTAGTTGTTTCAAGATAGGATCACCCTATGTATCCCAGACTAGACTGGAACTGCTTAGCCTGCACTGGCCTCAAACTTGTGATCTTCCCCCCTCGGACCCCACAGTGCTGGGGTTACAGACTGTGCCAGCAGGCCTGGGACTCCCTTACTTTTGAAGTGACATGTTTTAAACTCATCTTTGTATTCCTCGTTCCATCCTCGTGCGACCAACCATTTTTCAGAAACCCGTGTCTTTTTATAAGAAGAGTTTTATAGAAGACCATCCTACCGTGGCTTCTGGGCTCTCTCAGCCAACCAGCTAGTTCATGTAGGCTTGCTAACATGCACACTTTATAAAGTATTTCTGTGTCGATCTGACTGCATGTCCATTTTAAAACATGAGTTATGCTGACTTTGAACCAGTAAAGTTCATTCCAGCCTTGCCCCTTTCCTTCTTTATACCTTACTTGACTACTTAAAACTATTTTCTTCACTTAATTGTAGGGTACACATAAAGGAGTTTCAGGATTCCTACCCCATACCTGTACGAGAAAAAAAAAATTAACAGCCAGCATACAATGCTTGCATGCTACTGGAGTTACTATTTTTTTTTTTTTTTGCCCTTCTTCCTGGTTTTTTCCCCTTCCCTTAAGACAGGGTCTCATGTCGCCTGGTGTGACTTCAAATTAGACAAATAGCCAAGAATAATCTTGAACCTCTGATCTCCTTGCCTAATCTACCAAGTGCTGGGATTGTAGGCGTCCAACACCATGCCCAATTTTATATAGTCCTGAGAATGAAACCCAGGGCTCTGTGCAGGCTACATAAACATCCAGTCAACCAAGCTATATCCCCAGAGCTACATCTCCCTCCTCCCTATGCTCTTCAGCTGACGAGTTCAGAATGCTGTCAGTCATTCTTGATTCTCCCCCTTCCTTTCTTCCTCCTTTCTACTCTTTCCTTACCCACAATGCTTTAGGTATAATCATTCTCATTCATTTTTTCTGGCTTCATCCTTTCTGTATTTCCTCTGAACAAATAAACATCTCCTCTCTTCTCTTGGATATGGTTTAAGTGTGCCCCCCTGTCAAAGGTTCATGAACTGGAGGCTGAGTCTTGTGTGACAACATTAAGAAGCATAGAGCCTCTAAGTGGAGAGGGGTCACTGAGCTCCCTACTCCTCCAAGGGATTTTTTCAGTTCCCCTAAATTGCCAGCTATCTCCCACAAACAGCTATTATAGAAGCATAACACTGGGGCCGGCAAGATGGTATGGCATGTGTGATGGTTTATATATGCTTGCCTCAGGAAGTGGCACTATTAGGAGGTGTGGACTTGTTGGAGTAGGTGTGTCACTGTGGGCGTGGGCTTTAAGACCTTCATCTAGCTGCCTGGAAGTCAGCCTTCACTAGCAGCCTTCAGATGAAGTTATAGAACTCTCAGCTCCTCCTGCACCATGCCTGCATGCTCCTGCCTTGGTGATAATGAACCTCTGAGCCTGTAAGCCAGCCCCAATTAACTGTTATCCTTCTAAGACAGCAGGTAAAGGTGTTTGGTACTAACTCTGAAATCCTGAATTCCATCTCTGGGGCACAAATGGCAATGAGAAATGACTCTGGCAAATTGTTCTCTCACATCTAGAGATACACACTGTGGCATTTCATTGTTAATAACAGCTCTTACAGGGGCATTTTCTCAATTAAGGTTCCTGCCTTTCAGATACATCTAGCTTGGGTCAAGTTGACATAAAACTAGCCACCATGCCTGGGGAGGAGAGAACTAGCAAACACTGACAATACTGGTATTTGGTTAAGTGTGCTGTCTGGTTTTATGTCAACTTGACATAAGCTAAAGTCATCTGAGAGGAGGAGACCTCAATTAAGAAAATGCTTTCCTGGGTGTTACAGCACATGTCTTTTAATCCCAGCACTTAGGAGACAGATCTCTGAGTTTGAGGTTACCCTGGTCTACAGAGAGAATCTGGACAGCTAGGGCTACACAGAGAAACCCTGAGGAGGAGGTTTGGCCTCTGGCAAGCTTGTAGGGTATTTTCTTTATTAGTGATTGATGAACAAGGGCCTAGCCCTTTGTGGGTGGTACCATCCCTAGGCTGGTGGTCCTGGGTTCTATAAGAAAGCAGGCTGAACAGATCATAAGGAACAAGCTAGCCAGCAGCATCCCTCCATGGCCTCTGCAACAGCTCCTGACTCCAGCTTTCTTCCCTGTTTGAGTTCCTATCCTGACTTCCTTCAGTGATGGACTATATACAATGTGGAAGTGTAGGCCAAATACTACCCTCCCCCCAGGCCCCACCTGCCCAACTTACTTTTGGTCATGATGTTTCATCATAGTAATGGCAACCCTAACTAGGACAGTAAGCTAATAAAAAGATTAAATTTTAAGTGGAGGTATTCTCTGTGGATAGATACAGCTGCTCCCAGAAACATGACTTACAAGAAAATAAATAAATAAATAAATAAAATTAAAAATAAATAAATAAATCCCAGTGCGGAGAGTGGGTTACTTGTGAGGTTTCCCAAAACAATACATGATTGGCTCTACTTTTGGATATCCACCAAAACTACATCATAAGACCCTATTGCTGAAGACACCACATGCCTTGGTCACAGGTCAGAGAAAGAACAAGCTGAAATTGGTTGAAAGGTTCCTCCTTGTTGGATAGTTCCACGGTGCTGGAAGGTACTACGTAGGCTGCTGGGGGAGAATTCCCATACTCAGCCACACACTATTAAAACCAACCAACAGGGCAAAATCAGCCCACTGGGGCAGTCATGGTAAATGTGGTACCCAACTGCTTTCTGACCGGATGTGAAGTCTGCTTGACAGGAGGGAATCACATCTGGTACTGTAAACTTGACTTAAAATCAAGACTGTGGCAGTCCTAGGTCCTGGGGGGGAATGCTACTGCTGTTATTAAATCAACATGATGTATCTGTCAGACTGCTCTCTACCTCATTATGTTTATGTCCAAAGAGCAGCGCTGTTGTCTGCATGGTCAGAGAAGCCTCTTCCACCAGTACTGAGGTAGTGACTGCAGAGACTGACAACTGGTTGATGAACAAAGAATAAATGGCTGTGGAATGCACTCCGATCTTGAGAATGAACATATATAATCATTGATAGGGGAGGGAGAGACAATTTATTCAGTGGTGTAGTCACTGGTAAGGTGCACATGGTCCTGTAAACAAACTCAATGGATCATAGTTGGGGTGAGGGCCGGAAAGAGAGACAGAGGGAGAAGAAAAATCATATCACAAACTGACAACAACGAAGAATAAAATTCATTCAAACGCAAGACCTACCAAGCCTTATACTTTATATTTGGTTACGACTCTTATATTTCAGAATAGTGACTCATGCTCCTTCGTGATAACATCAGTCTATTGCAAAGGCCATCACCTCCGTTGTCCTGCAGAATATCAGAACATACCTCCTAAATCTGAATGCTTCCTGGTAGTAAGGAAGTTTCATTTTCTTAAGTTTCGCTCAGTCTCAGAGCGGAAAACGAAACTCGCTCACCTTTCAGAACCTGCAAGAGCATGTCAATCCCCTCCTGGTAACACACCAGAGCCTGCTGGTACCGAGATTCTGCATCCAGTTCCACTGCCCGCTTTAGCACCGCCACCGCGGCGGTGCTGTCGGAATCCTGTCCCAGGCTGGACTTAGCCATCACTGAGACAACTCCAAGGCTCGCCAACTAATTCCAAGGGCTGACCCACTGCACTTCCAGTAAGCGCACACGTGACGCCGCTGCGCCTGCGCTGTCTTCTATGGCGCTTTGTGAACGGGCCAGGATCAAAAAAAAAAAAAACCTTTCCCGGAACCAAAGAACCATATACACTGTGACAGCAACGGCGTGGTTTGAGTGTTGCACTGGGTCCGCCTTCCTCCGCTCCGCTTTTTCCGGCTGCGGGGCCGTTCGGAGTGGACGTAGCGGTTGCCGGTGAGTGCGGCCATGGGAGCTGGAGGCGTTGTGTGTTTTCACATGGACTCTCTCTCTGCAGTTGCGGACTGACTTCCTTTCTGTCCCGAGTTAGAGGTCCGGGAGACCCATTTCTTGACCTTCTGAAAGCAGCCGAGTTGTCACTTTATTCGAGTTTTGCTGCGACGCGCGTGTCTCTGAGAGTCTCACTCGTGTAGATCTAGATCCAAGCCATCCAAGAGTCAGTAACATTTATTATTTTTTTAAGAAGGCAAAACTTGCTTAATTTTAAGTTGTTGCGAATTTAGAGTGCTGAGTTTTTTGGAGCTGCTGTTTATTAAAGACAGTGATTTTGCAGGCAGCTTTGATTGTCACCTGTTTAAGCTGCTGCTTTTTGTGACTAAGAGGCCGTTATGACGGCTGCCTACTACCTTTACGCCCTCGGAATTCGAGGAAGAGAGAGATTTGTTGATTTCCGAGAACTCGGTTGATTGCACGAGAAATTCTGTGTTCCATATTTTCAGGAATGTCCACTCCTCCTTATAGATATATACCTTGTCTCTTTAGAAAGAGAAAGAAATTAAAGAACCACTTATGAGCTGGTGTTGTAGTTTGTAGGGTAAAGAGCCGTTTACATACATAGTCATTGTAAAAAGCAAAACAACAACAAAACTCCAGCAAAACGTTGTGGGTGAGGGAGAGGAAAAATGGTTTTGGCAACCTTCAGTTTTTCTGTGTATATATTAACATATTAGAAAATAAAAATAGTTTTTATGCATATATATATATATATATATATATATATATATAGTGTGTGTGTGTGTGTGTGTGTGATAAGTGGTATTTTTCAGTTTGTTTGTGTATAGGTGTTTTGCCTGTCATATCTACACCATGTGCATGCAGTGTCCATGGAGACAGATAGTCAGATACCCTGGAACTAGAGTGTAAAAACATTTGTAAGCTTCCATGTGGTCACTGGGAATTAAATGTAGGTCCTCTGTAAGAGCAGCCAGTGCTCTTAACTGCTGAGCCATGTCTCCAACCCTATTTTTCTGGTATTTGCAATAGTAGAGAAGAAAGTTGTTGTACAGTAGGTGGCAGTATAATTACTTCAAACTCCAAAAGTTGCACACATAATAAGAATAATGTCTACTGTATTGAAAGAGCACTTATGTTCTGTATGCAAGGCTCTAGGTTCAATCCCCAGTACCTACCTCCCCACCAAAAACCAACAACAACAAAAAGCAGTTTTGATGGTGACACCTGCTTATATCTGAAAGTTACACTTAAGGAAAGAATCTTGAGTGCAGCAGCTACTTTGAGAGACATATCTATGACTTGAACAGATTCAAAACAAAATATAAAGTCCTTGTCTTCTGGCACTGTAGTGTATTTAGAGTGGAGACAGCCACTAAATGGTTAACTAGCAAATTACAATAGAATACGACTATTAAAGTAAGGCAAGGGGCTGAAGTGCTAGCAGTAGCGTGACTGGAAATGCTGAACTGGTTGGTGGAGGTAGTCCTCATTCAGGACCGAAATGGTGTGGTCCAGATAGAACTTGTTGACAAGATAAGGTTTGAGCCAAAAATTGACAAAGCCACATCAGGGTCACATAGGGGAGAAGACCAGGTCATGCTGGAAGGCCACCTACTCTGTGAGGAGGTGGGAAAGTAGTAGGACATGTAGGGGAATATGGGGTGGAAGAGGTTGGCAGTGATTGATATGCACTGGCTTGGTATGTGAGGGTTAAGGACTTTGATTTCCACCTTGGTTAAATGGAGAGACACTGAAGAGAGTACTAGGTGTTGAACCCAGGGACTCATGCATGCCAGGTCTGAAACATATTCTTAGTTCCAGCTTTAATTTTTTTTAATGAATGAACCTCACCTTTAGCCAGTTTTAGGTTTCAAGAGAAATGGTCAAGTTTAGTATAGGGTCCTGTACCTTCCCTGGTTAGTTTTCCCTTTAACAACAAATATTAGTGTATGGTGCTCAGTGCAGCTGCTGAACCAAATTGGTACATTATTAACTTCATTTGCTTTATTAAGACAGATTTTGTGTGGTGTCCGTATGTCCTATTATATACCAGGATCCAACTCAGACACCGATGTGGTGTGTCTTGTGTGTGATGATTGTAGCTCTTGGGTTCTTCTTGGGCAGTTTCTCAGGTGTCTAGTTGTGATGACCTTGGCAGTTTTGAGAAGTGAGATATTTGAAAATGTACTGATGAAGTTTTTTTCCACAGTCTCTTAGTTAGGGTTACGATGAAACACCATGACAAAAAAAAAAGAAAAAAAGAAAAAAAAAAGCAAACTGGGGAGGAAAGGGTTATTTTCCTTTGAGAGACACATCTCTCTCTCTATCTCTCTTCCACATCATAGTCCATCACTGAAGGAAGTCAGGACAGGAACTCAAGCAGAGCTTATGGCAAGTTGACATAAAATAAGCCAGCACACACAGTAACCCTCAGTCACGGTTGGTTTTTCTCTTAAGTAGAGTTAAATGTACAGGCTTTGTGATGGAAGTTGTCTCATTACATGTCCTGGTATCAGGTATAGGTGCTAGTGACATTTTGTTTTGTTTTGCAATACATTCCCACTATGTAGTCCTGACTGGAATGCTGTCCACTTTGATCACCATTGGTGTTAAGCATCCCTGATCTGGTGTTGGATGTAGTGTTACATGTCAGTTTGTTGTACTTAACGGTGATCCCCTGATTTTCTGTACAGCACTCCTGGGGAGCAGCCATAATTGTTTTGGTTCCAGTTATAAACTGAAATTTGTTGTATATTTGTATAAATCACTCCAGTTTGGCCATTGAGAGTTCTTTCAGTTGTAAGTTTACCATGCTCCCTTGGGTTTGAATTTCTGAGTAGCTACTTCCTGATTCTTCAGGTTGCAGCAGACTGTCATCTATCTCTTGAAGAAGCCCTAATGGTGCCTTTGAAGAGAATGCTATTAAAATTACTGTCTGAGCACAGGGTGTGTTCATAGCTGCTGGTGTAATTGTCCTCTCAACAAACAGAGCAGGCCCCTGTATACATACATGCCAACCCCAGTGGTTGACAGGGTTCCTGAGAGGAGATGAGGAATCTGAAAGGGAGGACTTGTCTTTCTGCTCCAGGCTTCCCAAGTATAGAGTCAGAGGCATGTGTCACCAATGCCTGTCTGTACATACTCTCTTAATGACTAGATACCTTGGGAAAGTGATTGCTTTCTGGAAGTCGTTTTCCTCATATGTAAAATAAGAGGTCACTTGGTTCTGATTCTAAGAGGTGGAATTTCTTCAGTACTCTCTAGTTTCGTATTTTCTGTCATTTCTCTGACAAAGAAAAATGATCAAATATTCTTTATACTTGTTGTGACAAGTTTTGGGTCATAGAAAGCCGTTTCCCAGTTTTGGGGATGAATGTAGACACTAAGCTCACTAGGTGAAAATAGGATTGTCTAATATATGACTACTGCCTATGGTTTTACCAATACAAAAGGGGAAATGTGCCCATCTGTAATGTATTTGACAAGCAGTGTGTTTCCTACTTCTCAGCCTCTAAAGAGAAGAATTACCACACTTATGGCAGGGGTTCTGCACTCAGTATTTCAGAGGCCTCCAGGCAGATTACAGGTAAGCTTTAACTTTCTTTTTTTTTTTCTTTTTTTTTTATTTATTTATTTTATTTATGAGTACACTGTCGCTGTCTTTGGACACACCAGAATAGGGCATCCAATCTCATTACGGATGGTTGTGAGCCACCATGTGGTTGCTGGGATTTGAACTCAGGACCTCTGGAAGAGCAGTCAGTGCTCTTAACCGCTGAGCCATCTCTCCAGCCCAAGCTTTAACTTTCTATGGCTTTCTTGTATAGCTAAGGCTAACCTCAAACTCACTGTATGGCTGAGGATAACCTTGAACTTCTACCTGCCTCCACTTCTCAAGAGCCCAGTTTCATGCAGTGCTGGGGATTGAACTCAGCTATATGCGTGCTAGGTAAGCACTGTGCCAACTGAGCTATATCCTCAGCCTGAGAGTTTGGTTTTTGATTTTTGTCCTCTCTTGTTCATTACAAAACATAATAGTAAGTTAATCTTTTTAAGAGCTCCTTCTGATATAAATTAGTTGGTTTAGGTCTGCTGTGTTTGTGATGAGAGAACTCGGAGCCTTGTGAGTACTGGGCACACACTCTAGCTGAGCTACACCCGGCCCTTATTTATTTCTGCTTTATGTGCTATTTTCCCTAAAGATTTCCAACTCCAAAGCATCTTTTCCTGTAGCCAATAAAAAAGCTACTGCTGATTGCCCTTGGTCTGTTTTAATGTTACAGTTTTAGGGAAAACCCTTCAATTATGAAAAGAATACATTTTCACAGTCAGATAAACATAGAAAAAGTAGAAGATAAGCAATCTCCTGAAGAAAAGAAATGTGTTAGCATCTCCTCCTAGTGTTTAGAGAGTACACTGGAATGGCTAATGTACACATATTGACCAGACTGGGTACAGACCCAGACATACGCTGGGTCTCAATACAGAACTCCGGGTTGTGGGGATAGAAATGTCAACTACTTTCATTTGGGTTATGAATTCAGTACCTTTTTGGTACTTTGGAAACTGACCCTCTGCGAGGATGTGTGACTCTTAGTGTTGTAAGCAATGGAAGCAGGATTAGAAGCCTAGGATTTCTGGCATATGCAGGACCAGGTTTCCCTTCTCTCACCATCAAGACTTAACCTCTACTTGTTGGTGTCAGCTCTGTAGTTCAGGGAAGCCTGGAAGAGAAAGACTGCAGTGACTATATCCAACTTCGAGAGTAAAGGAGGATTGGGCAGTAAAGTCAAGGTGAGAGTTGGGCCTGGTGGTGCTGTTAGGACTAGGGACTCTCACTGTGCTTTGTGTAGTGTTGGTTTTGAGACAGTGTCTTATCCTGTAGGCCTGCCCCAAACTTGAATGAAGTTGCCAACCCCAGACTTCCAGTCTAAGTGCATGTGGTTTTGCTTTGTTGTTCATTAATGCTTTAATGAGATGTGTCCATTCATTGAGGTAGCTGAGTTTAACATTAGCCATTGTAGACTATGTTAGATCAGACACTTGTCACCTAAAGGCTGGTGGATACAGACTCTCACACAACATGGAGTTATAAATAACAAATGTTTTCTGCTTCAGACTGTGAAGAAAGGTGCAGAATCTCTCATTGGTTCAGAATGGATACGTCACAAATTTACCAGATCAAGAATTCCAGATAAAGTAAGGCCTGATTCTTTTTAAATAATATTTTTAGATATGAATTTTATAAAATCATTAGCTATTTGCAAACTTATTACATTGTGTGTTGCATTGTGTCTGTGTTTCTTTGTGCGCACATGTGTGTGCACTTATCCTGGTTTTGTATGTGGAATCCTAGAAGACAATTCTGAGGTCAGTTCTCTCCTGTCATGGGACTCCTGGGGAGTAGAGCTTAAGTCACCAGACGTCAGGCATGGCAGCAAACACTCTATGCTCAGTGCCCGCTCACAGCCTGCTAGTGTGAGTTTTTCTTAAGTTGCATGATATAGTGTAGATTTGAAAGTGCATCTAGACAGAGATAGTGTGACCTGGAAGTGCATCTAGATAGATACAGTGTAGACCTGGAAGCACTGTAGGATGCTGACCTCTGCTCCTGGCCCTGCCGGGTTCATAGGAATGGGCTCCTATTACTTCCTGTCCTGTGTATTCTGCTCATGGTTCTCCCTTTACATACTGTGGTTTAATCACCATTGTCCTGAGAAGACGGTGAGTTGAGGCTGTCTTCGTGTGACTCCGTTCTCACTTCCTGGATCAACTACACAGGCGAAGCTCTCCTTTGGTTTGTAGTTGTCATTTTCATTTTGTTTGGCTTTTACTTGCTTTTAAGTTAATTGAATTTTATTTAATAAAACAGTTTAATGATACAGAAGAAAATAATCAAAGTGTGGAGGCCTCCTCTCTCCATCACAGTTTCCCATTTTGTATTGATTAAAACAACTGTTAACATAGATGAAAGAGCACGGACATTCCTGCAGGCCATCCTGTACACTGGGGGTCAGTCTGCATGCTGTGTATCATGCTGTGGGTTTTGGCGAATGCATAAGATCATGTATTCACTACTGCAGTGTCACACAGGACTGTGTACCACCCTACATGTCACTGTGTCCTGCCTTCCACAACATCTGACCCTAGCAACCTTTTTACCCACTTTCTGGTTTTACCTTTCCCAGAATCCCACATAGTTAGAATCGTACAGTCTGTACATTAGGTTCTTACAAATCTTTTCATGGTGACAGTCCATGGTGCAGGTTTATGTAGTTTGTTTATGTGCTCACCTTCCAGCTTGGGGCAGTAATGAAGCTGTACAAGTACTTGAGTACTTGGTATGGCTGTTGGTTTTTGGTGTGTTGGGGAGATACTTGACAGTGCAATTAAACAGTAAAGACCATTTAGCCTTGTCAAGCTGCTGTAGAGGTAATTTTGTTGGACGGGAATGTTTTTGTACAGGTTTCCTCCCCTACTATATTTTTATTTATTTTATTTTCAGAGATTTAAATTTTTATTTTGTGTACATAAGTGCTCTGGCTGCCTGTTTGTATGTGTATCATGTGAGTGCTGGTGCCCATGGAGGTCAGAAGACAGTAGCAGCTCCTGGGAGCTAGTGTGGGTGACTGTGAGCACCATGCAATGCTAGGACCTGAGCCCAGGCCCTCTACTACGTCTGAGCCATCTCTCCAACATCACCTCAAGTGATGGGATATAGAGGACAACATTAACCAAGTAACCACAATTTCAGGTTGTGAGTTTTTTGGCTCTGGGCAGATTGTATAGTAACTGCGCTGGCTGGGTGTCCCGTTCTAAAAACCTGAAGCCAAAGTATATAATTCTCAGGTTCTGAACTGTTCAGGCTGAGGTTGAGGATGACAGAAAGATTATGGGTGGGATCATCGTGAACTTTTGTACAGTTTTGTCCATTTTTAAAGGCATAGGCAATGTATAAAACCTGTAAGTTGGGAGAGTTACCAGTCATAATTCTCTCTTCCTAGGTGTTTCAGCCTAAACCTGAAGATCATGAAAAATATGGTGGGGACCCCCAGAACCCTCATAAACTGCACATTGTTACAAGAATAAAAAGTACAAAGAGGTGTCCATACTGGGAAAAAGATACGATCAAGATGCTCGGCCTACAGAAGGTGTGCAGCGATCCTGAGCACCACCTCAGATCTCATCCTTTAAAATCAGCACTTTGTGCATTTGCTATCTCTTATGTTTAAATGTGTCACTTAGTGTGACCTATTTATAAGTTAGTATACAAAGGATGGTCCAGTGTGACATTTCCTGGAATGGCACCACTGCCTTTTAAATTGACCTGTGACATTACGCCTCTTGTTCCTAGGCACACAGCCCTCAGATTCACAAGAACATCCCGTCGGTGAATGCAAAGCTGAAAGTGGTGAAACACTTGATACGCATCCAGCCCCTGAAGCTGCCACAGGGACTTCCCACAGAAGAGACCATGTCCAGCACGTGCCTCAAGAGCACTGGGGAGTTGGTCTTGCAGTGGCATCTGAAGCCTGTGGAGCAGGAAGCAAAGTCCTGATGCCACACAGCTTCAGCTTACAGACACACTTACTGAGGAAACTATTCTTATTAAAGTGAATGTTAATCCAGTCATTTGTGCCGATGGAGTCCTGGTGTTATCGTGTGGTTCAGTTCTCTCCCTTTGTTCTCTAGGGATTTTACTCCACAGTGAGTAAGAACGGCATTGTTTGAACATCTACCATTCGGTGCCTATCACTAACAATCGTCATTATCTCCTTGTAGAAACTGTTGCCTTCTTTAACTGCTTTCTCATTGTGTGAGGAGGCACACTCACTTTGTGACAACCTGCTCTCAAAGGTGGCATTAAGCCCTGAGCGTGATGGTTCCAAGGTCAGTCAGTCACCTTCCACTAAGCCAACCTCATAACCATCCTACTACACTGAAAATCAGTTTTCAGCAAACAGCATTTGGGGAGCAAACCTTAAACTGTAGCAAGTTCTTTGAGTGAATGCAGCTGTGGAAGAATTTCAAAGCTGGCCAAACAACCAATGGTGCAGCCAGGAGCCTGAGGCGCAGGGTGTGGCTTGAGTGACACTCCCTGCCTCATGCTGTGATGTGAGCAGGGTTCATCTCATCCCTAAATGACAGAAGTATGTGTTTTGGAACTATAAGTCTAATTTAGACAGAACCATATTATTGCAGTCTGCCTAGATAAGCCATTTACTTCTGTGTAAATGTATCCTGCTGGAGCCAGGGTGTGTTAGGTGCTTTAGCTGTAACTTGGCAGGCCATTCTGGTTTAAGCTCTAAAATGTACTGTTTGGATTCGTAAGGATTCACAGCATCAGTGGCTGAGCTTGCTATTTAAAGAAAGAAATGTAGGGTGAAAGAGCTCAGTAAAGTGATTGCCCTGTGTGGTGCTTTGAATATGCTCTGGCCCACGGGAAGTGGCTCTATTAGTAGGTGTGGCCTTGTTGGAAGAAGTGTGTCACTGTAGAGGTGGTCTTTGAAGTCACCTCCTATGCTCAGGCTCCACCCAGAGTGGAAGAGAGCCTCCTCCTGGCTGCCTGCAGAGGCCAGTCTCCTGGTGCTGCCTTTGGATCAAGATGTTGAATTCTCAGCTCTTCCAGCACCACCTGCCTGGATGCTGCCGTGCTTCCCAGCATGATGATAATGGTAACTGTAAGCCAGCCCCAACTGCCTTGGTCATGATGTCTCTTTACAGCAACAAAAATCCCAACTAAGACACCCTGGGACCTAGATTGCTCCCCAGCAACCATGTTTTTAAAAAGCTAACCATGCCAGCACTCCCTCATTAATCCAAGTACTGAGGAGGTAGAGAAAGGCCAGTGCATGGCCCAGCTTACTTGCCAAGCCACAAGCCCGTTAGATACCCTGTCTCAAGGAAAAATAAAGGATTGTGCCTGAGGAATCAGGTTATCCTCTGGCCTTCGTGTGCACACATGAGCATATGCACCAACAGAAAGAAATCTCACATTCTTTTAAAGATTTGTCTTTTTATGTGTATGTGTGTCTGTTTGCTTCACATGGCTTCTTGTAAGTGTCAACCCACAATGCCCTTGTTTGAAATCCCTACATATACAAAGAGCCCTTTTTTTTTAAAGATTTATTTATTTTATGTATGTAAGTACACTGTTGCTGTCTTCAGAAACACCAGAAGAGGGCTTCAGATCCCATTACAGATGGTCATGAGCCATCTGTAATCTGGAAGAACAGTCAGTGCTCTTAACCGCTGAGCCATCTCTCTGGCCCCAGAATCAGTGTTTCTTAAAAATAGAATCTTTGGGTGCACTTTACTGCAGGTGTGTGAAAAGACCAGAAGAGGGCACCAGATACCCCGGGTCTGTAGGTCCAGGGGCTGTGGGCACTGAGACCCAAGCATTGCCCTCTGGGAGAACAGTGTGAGCTCTTTAACTGCTGGGAAGGGGAGAATCTTCTCATCTCCTTTCTTTTTCAGATACCTGGAAAGTGAGAGGTCGTAAGAATTCTAGGGGAGACTCAGTAGTGGGAAGCCCCTGCGCAGCTCATTAAAGGAGAGCCTGTGCTCTCCAGCCTTTTACTTTTCTTTGTCTTTGCAAGTGTTTCAGTTCAGGTCACACCAACGTTTGTATACTCTTTTGTTCCACGGTCCTGGCACAGGTGTTAATGTTGAGTACTTCATCAAGGCATAAGTGTCACTGAACTACAAGCCTGAAATTGGCATTTATTTATTTCTTTATTTATTTAAAAGATTTGGTTATTGTATTTATGAGTACACTGTAGCTGTCTTTAGACACACCAGAAGAGGGCACCAAATCCCATTACAGATGGTTGTGGGCCACCATGTGGTTGCTGGGAGTTGAACTCAGGACTTCTGGAAGAGCAGTCAGTGCTCTTAACAGCTGAGCCATCTCTCCAGCCACCTGGCTTTTATTTATTAATGAGCTGAAAGCCAGTTGTAGTTTTAATTTCGTAATTATTGCATGTGTGGTATGTGCACGGCCTGGAGGAAACAGGAGCCCAAAGGCTACTTTTAAATGTTGTCTAGTTGGAGAGAAACCTGCCTGTATACTGCCACAAAGCATAGGCTTGCCTACAGTGGGCTTGAAAAATACCTGTGTCACCCCTCTGTGTCACCCCTCTGGTGTTAATGTTACTATGGAGATCAGGAGAAACTACCATGGTGTGGTTTTGTTTTCTCTAAGAAGTTAAGTTTGGGTTATCATCTTAACTTCAACAGCCCACCACTAGAAGGGTTGGTAGGATGAATCTTTAGAATGAAGATGCCTAAAGAAGAAACAGTTTGGAGCATAGGCTGCAGCGGCGGCTCTCTGTTGTTACACAGGCAAAGCTGCTTAAAGCATGTGCTTCTGTGAGGCAGAAGTGTGGTCATAGCCCAGCTGGGTAGACTGCTTAGTCCAGAGGTTCTCAACCTTCCTAATGTGACCCTTTAATGCAGTTCCTCATGTTGTGGTGACCTCCTACCATAAAATTATTTTTGTTGCTACTTGATAACTAATTTTGCTACTGTTGTGAATTGTAATGTAAATTTCTTTGTTTCCCAATGGTCCCAGACGATCTCTGGGAAAAGGTCATTTCATCTCCCAAAGGGTCACTACCCACAGGTTGAGAACCTATGGTTTATCATCTCACAAAGCTACAGTAAATAGTTCCTGCTAATAATGTGTGGTTCTCAGTGTTAGGAATGAGCAGGGATCTGCTTCCAGATTCTGAGCTTGTGGCAGGATTCACTTCTTTGTGATTGTAGAACTGGCAAGTCGCCTCTTCAAAGCCAGCGCTGGCAGGTCTCTAGCAGAATGGACACCATTAAGCTTGTAAAGCAATCATGGACAGCCCATCATCTTGGTCACATATGAAACAAGTCCACCCTGTAGTACACCCCAAGGGCTCTGTGTGTGACAAGCTCTTCAGCTTGGTGCTCCTCTGCTTCACATGGTCTCAAAACCTTGTAAAGACTCGTTCCTTAGTCCTGACCTCATATCTCTAAGGATTTTCATTTAGACTCATCATCTGCTTGACGCTGCATTTGTCTGGCCAGAGGTTTAGTCTGGCCTCTGGTGACCATCTGACCATTTTTCTAGTAAGAGTCAGATATAGAACACTGGCCATTAAATAAAGAAGTGTACCCTTAAAGTGGCAGTCAGCAAGCTGAGAACTGATCTGTGTATTATTTCTATTTTTACTTCATTGCAATTATTAAAAAGTAAGATGAGTGATTTTATGGCAGTGCCAAGCGTCCTGAAGGTGCTGTTTGACAAAGTTCCAGAGCTTGGATGACCTGGACTGAGCTTCACTGCCCTGGGTGGAAATTCACTGCACACGTTATCCTTACGTTTCTCACTGTTAAAGGCCTCACTCTGAAAGCTGGAGCTGGGTCAACAAAAACCTGCTGTAAACAAGAACAGAATCAGTGGAAGTCCCCTGGGAAAAGCAGTCTTGTAGAAAATCGAGTCTTTCTTACAAATTACTATTTAGATTATTAATGAGTTTTACTAGTAAGCATGAGGAAGGATTTGAGAACAATTAGTAAGGAAGACAAACAAGAAAATTCTAGAAGCTACAAACTGTAATTGAATCACCAGGTTTTTATGTTCAGCTTCAGAGAAACGAGAAATTAGTGTGAATAGGAAGAGATTTTGACCACGCAATTAACGACAGGCCTTGGTACCTTCCTGAGGGCAAAGTAAACAGTTTTAGGAATTCTGCTGTTCTTCTATTCTTTACAGAATTGTAATAAAGATGGGAATCATCTTTAAAATAAGGGTTCAAGACAGAAGAAAGCATTTTGGCTCAGTGAATTGCCTGCCTTCCTGAACAGACTTGTCAGCACAGAACTTTTCTATATATTATAGACAAAGAACAGACCTCCTTTGCTTAAGCAAGGGGCTGCACAATATTTTAAGAATCTAAGAAAAAGGATGGTGGTCTTATGTCAAATATAAAAGAAATACAGAGGAAGGAAAGGAAGAATCAAACAGAAGTCAGAGAGATTGAATCTTTGTAGAAATCCAAGCTTGATACAACAGGTAGAAGGAAATAACTTTTTATCTACTAAGTTCATGCCAAACTGAAATAGAAGCAAAATCAAATAGTCATCCCGTCTAGTATTTCTGTAACCGCAGGTTTTATGACACCAATCTTAAGGAAGATACTTAGTTAAAAGAAAATTGATTTTGAGAGGCAGAGACAGGTGGATTTCTGAGTTCGAGGACAGCCAGGGTTATACAGAAGAAAATTGATTTCATGATAATGTTAGTTTTTAGTTCTCATAAAATTGCTATTTGCTTGCTTTGTTCCTCTTTCAATATCCTTGTGTAACCAAGGAAGACTTTAGAGAAGAAAATGTGTCTTGAAAAGCTGGGTAATCAATGAATAAAGTTTCTGAGGAAATAATTTTGTGTATAAATAAAGCCTGTGAGAGACACAGGTTATTAGAGTAGGTCAAGCCATATGGAGATATGCTTCCTTTCTGCTCCATCTCTCATGAAACAAAACTGGATGGTGTCCTCCATCTGAATCTTCCATTGCCACTTTTACATCCACCAGCTGCAAGCCCTGACCTCAGCTGGGGCTGGTCCCTGGCAATCTTAGGCATTCAATCTTCATATTCTG